AACGGTCGCCCATCTGATTGTACACTCAGTCACAAACTCTGATACCATAGAACCAGAGATCCAGATGGAACTTGGCAAAGGGTTCCCAGGAGGGGATCTGAACAAGTCAAGTACACCAGTTGTCTTTCATTGTTTTCCATCAGACAGCAAGATGACAAAGGCAAACGCTGAACGTAAGGAAGCGATCTGCGATACACAAAAGCCGCCCAACAAGCTCAAACTTTCTGGCCGGAGGAATAAGGACAACGACTGTCAAAGAGATAAGGATGGCATCGAGCTCCCACATGCTCAGAAAGTATCTAAAGTCTTAGTGAAAGATAGACAGAGGAGCATTGTTGGCTCGGTCTCCTCTACGCCATCAAAGCCTTTAGCCAAGGAGAGCCTTGCATTTGTACCATGTATCTCAGAGAACCTTGGGGCTACTGAGCTTACTGCAACCATGAATTCTAGGTTCTCGGAAAAGTCTTCAACATGTGTAGACCAGTCTGCTTTGTTTCGGGGTGAAGCCAGTCAACTCAAGAAGGACTTGGGAACCACTGTTACCCTATCTGCAGAGAGTGCTAACACATCAGTTCAAAGCCAAGGTGGGACAGAGGAGTCTGCGAATGTCTCCGCTAGTCTAAGACTGGGCGCTCCTCCAGTAAGCGAACGGCTCAAGAGTTTAATTGTGAGGTCAGCTGCTTTGGATGTGAACAACAGTTCCCAAACATTGGGATACCGAGGCATTTGGACAGGGTCAGGAGAACATTCTGCATTGAATGCGGGTCAAGTGGCTGGGCGATTACGGGCAAAAACAGAACCAGGGAAGAGCTGCAGTGGAAACAAATCTATATCCGTCACTGGAGAAAACACAGAAACCACTGAAGGCAAAAATCATGACCTGCCCAATATTCTCAGGAGCCCAGAACCTGACACAATCCCCCACCCGATTGTAAACTCAGTCACAAAGGCTGATACCATAGAACCAGAGATGCAGGTGGAACTTGGCAAAGGGTTCCCAAGAGGGGATCTCAATAAGTCCAGTGCTCCAGCTGCCTTGAGCTGTTTTCCACCAGAATTCAAGGCCAGGACTTCAAGGCAAAACACGGATGCTGAACGTAAGCAAATGGTTTGCCAGACAATGAATCCATCCAGCAACAAGACCTCCATATTTCCTGCTCAGCTGAACGTGGCGAATGTCTCACAAAGAAATAAGGACTACACTGAGCTCCTGTGTGCTCAGAAAGTGTCGAAAATCTCAGTGCAAGATGGGCAGAGAAAGGCTGTTGGCACGGTCTCCTCTATACCATCAAAGCCTTTAGCCAAGGGGCATATTGCCTTTGCACCATGTGTCACAGAGATCCTTGGGGCTACTGAGCTTACTGCAACCATGAATTCTAAGTGCTCGGAAAAATCTTCACCATGTGTAGATCATGCATCTGCCTTATTTCAAGGAGAAGCCGGCCAACTCACTAAGGGTTCGGGAACCATTGTCGCCCTTTCCGCAGAGGATGAAGACACATCAGATCAAAGCCAAGGTGGGACAGAGGAGTCTGCTAATGTAAGACTGGGTGCTCCACCAGTAAGTGAACGGCTCAAGAGCTTAATGGTGAGGTCAGCTGTCTCAGGTGTGAACAACAGTTCCCAAACACTGCAAACCCGAAGCAATTGCAAGACGGTAGCAGGAGAACATTCTGCGTTGAATGCAGGTCAAGTAGCTGGGAAGTTACAGCCAAAAACAAAACCAGGGAAGAGCTGCAGGGGAAACAAACCTGCGTCCACCACCAGAGAAAGCACAGAAACTAATAAAGGCAAAAATCATGACCTGTCCACAGATCTAAAGAGCCCAAAATCTGATACATTCACCCACCAGATTGTACACTCAGTGACAAATACTGATACCATAGAACCAGAGATCCATATGAAACTTGGCAAAGGGTTCCCAGTAGTGAATCTCAACAAGTCAAGTGCACCAGATATCTTGGACTATCTTCCATCAGACAGCAAGGTGACGAACACGGATGCTGAACGTAAGGAAACGGTTTGCAAGACACCAAAGCCACCCAACAACAAGACCCCCAAATTTTCTGCTCAGCTGAATGTGGAGAACGACACACAAAGAAATAAGGACAGCATTGAGTTACTGGCTAATCAGAAAGTATCTAAAGTCTCAGTGCAAGAAGGGCAGAGTGGGGTTGATGGCTCAGTCTCCTCTATGCTATCAAAGCCTTTTGCCAAGGGGAGCATTGCCTTTGTACCATGTATCACAGAGATCCTTAGGGCTACTGAGCTTACCACAGCTGTGAATTGTAAGAACGCGGAAGCGTCGTCACCACTTGTATACCAGTCTGACTTATTTCAGGGGGAAGCCGATCAACTCACCAAGGACTCGGGAATCAGTGTCACCCTTTCTGCAGAGGATGATCACACATCAGTTCAAAGCCAAGGTGAGACAGAAGAGTCTGCTAATGTCTCCGTTGGTCTAAGATTGGACGTTCCACCAATAAGCGAACGGCTCCATAGCTTAATGGTGAGGTCAGCTGCCTTGGGGGTGGACAATAGTTCCCAAAGGTTGGGACACCGAGGCGTTTGCAAGATGGTGGCAGGAGAACATTCTGTATTGAATGCAGGTCAAGTGGCTGGGCGATTATGGCCAAAAACAGAACCAGGGAAGAGCTGCAGGGGAAACAAAACTGTGTCCGTTACCGGAGAAAAAACCCAAACCAATGAAAATTATGACCTGCCCAATGCTCTCAAGAGCCTAGAATCTGACCCAGTCGCCCACCCGGTTGTACACTCAGTCACAAACACCAATACCATAGAACCAGAGATACAGATAGAACTTGGTAAGCAGATCCCAGAAAGGGATATCAACAAGTCCAGTCCTCCGGCTTCAATGCCCTATTTTACACAGGCCTTCAAGACGACGACCACAGATACTGAACACAAGAAAACGGTTTGCCAGACACTGAAGCAGTCTGACAACAAGACCCCAAAATTTTATGCTCAACTGAATGCAGAGAATGCCTTACGACTTACGGGGTGTGAAAGAGATAAGGACCATGTTGAGCTCCCATGTGCTCAGAAAGTATCTAAATTCTCATTGAAAGATAGGCAGAGGAGGGTTGTTGGCTCAGTCTCCTCTATGCCTTCAAAGCCTTTAGCCAAGGGGAGTGTTGCCTTTGTACCATGTATCACAGAGATCCTGGGGGCTACTGAGCTAACTGCAACTATGAATTCTAAATGCCCGGAAGAGTCTTCACCACGTGTAGATAAGTCTGCCTTGCTTCAGGGAGAAGCCAGTCAACTCACCAAGGACTTGGGAAGTCCGCCCAGTTGCGTAATTTCCGCAGGAGACAACCACACATTGGATCAAAGCCTCGGTGAGACAGAGGAGTCTGTTAATGTCTCCACTAGTCTAAGACCAGGCACTCCACCAGGAAGTGAACGGCTCAAGAACTTAAAGTCGAGGTTAGCTGCCTTGGGGGTAGGCAACAGTTCCCAAACATTAGGATGCCGTGGTGGTTGCAAGACAGTCTCAGTTGAACCTTCTGCTATGAATGCAGGCTATGTAGCTGGCCGATTACGGCCAAAAACAGAACCAAAGAAGACCTGCAGGGGAAATGTACCTGCATCCGTCACCAGAGAAAACAACAAAATCAATGAAGACAAAAATCATGACCTGTTCAACGCTCTTAAGAGTCCAGAATCTGACACAGTCGCCCACCAGGTTGTGCACATGGTCACAAACGCCAATACCATAGAACCAGAGATGCAGATGGAACTTGGCAAGGAGTTCCCAACAGGGGTTCTTAACAAGTCTGGGGCTCCAGATGCTTTGCGCTGCTTTCCACTGGGCTTCAAGGCGAGGACTTCAAGGCAAAACAAGGAAGCTGAATGTAAGAAAATGGTATGCCAGACACAGAAGCTGCCCAGTAACAAGACCCCCAAGCTTCCTGCTCGGCTGAATATGAAGAACGACTCACAGGAGCATGAAAGAGATAAGGATGGCAATGAGCTCCCAGGTGCTCCAAAAGTATCTAAAGTCTCAGTGCAAGATGGACAGGGGAGTATTGTTGGCTCGGTCTCCTCTACAGAGATCCTTGGGGCTAGTGAGCTTACTGCAGCCGTGAATAGTCAACGCTCGGAAGAGTCTTCACCACGTGTAGACCAGTCTGCCTTGTTTCAGGGAGAAGTCGGACAACTCACCAGGGTCTCGGAATGTCTGCCCAGTGTCTCCCTTTCCACAGAAGATGGCCACGCATCAGATCAAAGTGAAGGTGGGACAGAGGAGTCTACGAATGTCTCTGCTGGTCTAAGACTGGGCCCTCCACCAGTAAGTGAACGGCTCAAGAGCTTAAAGTTGAGGTCAGCTGCCTCAGGTGTGGACAATAGTTCCCAAATACTGCAAAACCGAGGCGATTCTGCATTGAATGCAGATCAAGAGGCTGGGCGATTACAGCTAAAAACAGAACCAGGGAAGAGCTGCAGGGGAACCAAACCTGTGTCCGTCACCGGAGAAAACGCAGAAACCAACGAAGGTAAAAATCATGACCTGCCCAACGCTCTCAAGAGGCCAGAATCTGACACAGTCGCCCACTCAGTTGTACACTCAGTCACTAACTCTGATACTATAGAACCAGAGATCCAGATGGAAATTGATAAGGGGTTCCCAAAAGGGAATCTCAACAAGTCCAGTGCTCCAGCTGGCTTGTATTGTTTTCCACCGGACTTGAAGGCAATAAGTAAGGATATTGAATGTAAGAAAATGGTTTGTCAGTCACTGAAGCCACCCAGCAACAAAATCCCCAAATTTCCTGCTCAACTGAATCCGGAGAATGATTCATGGGAATACGAAAGAGATAAGGACATCATCGAGCTCCCACATGCTCAGACAGTATCTAAAGTCTCAGTGCAAGATGAACAAAGGAGTGCCGTTGGTTCGGCCTCCCCTCTGCCATCAAAATCTTTAGCCCAGGGGAACGTTGCCTTTGTACCATTCCACTGCATGACAACTTTAGCAGCCGCGACTACCAAAGAGCTGATGTTGGGAGCCAGGAAGAAGGTTCATCTGCTGAAGCCACCTAGTGAGATCTCAGGTGCTGCCCCCGAGCCGGTCAGCCTCGTTGTGAAGGTAGATGATCATCCCAAGAAGGAAGCTGTGAAGCGCTTATGTTTGTCCCCCGTCAGACAGGGGACAGTCCTGTCGGAGACGTGTTCCTCAGCAGAGAAAGAAAATTTCACTGAAGACATCACGGCAACTAAAAGGATTTGTCAGAAGGCCGGTGAGGAGGCTACTCAACACAACGATTACCAGGAGCTCAGAAAAGCACTGCAGCCTCAGCAGGAAGTGCAGAAAGGTAAAAGTTTTCATTAAAGACTTAAACTCAATTTATACAGACTAGCATCCCGGAGCCCTTGGCAGTGGCGGAGTCCGCCCCCGAGCCACGGGGAGAGGGGGGTGGGAGGAGACTGGAAGCACGATCAAAAAGGAAAGTCTTTAGGTGGGATTGAAAGTGGGGAGGGAGGGGGCAAGGAGGAGGGATTGAGGGAGAGTGTTCCAGAGTTTTGGGGCATAGTGGCTGAAGGTACGGCCACCGATGGTGGAACGGATTGGACGAGGGCTGAATTGGAGGCCGGAGCCAGATTTTATTATTATTATTATTAAGTGTAATCACAGTGTGGTTACCGGCATTGTACTTGCATGAATCCTGCGAGCAGAAAATAGAGACTCGGTGCCACAGAGGTCCTTATAGAAATGCAAGTTGCTGTTGTAGCCATACAGAGGGGTGGAGGGCACGGAATTCATGGTAGCATTCCTCCTTTTGTCATTCTTTCCAGGCGGGGAGGAGATTGAGCTGCTGCAACTCACAGTTGAAAAGGAGCTCACAACCCAATGTAACTTTGGTGGCCAGATGTGGGGTAGGATTGCGACAGACGAAGTCCATTTTGGTGAAGGTTTGCACCGCAAGGCATTTCGGACTACAGTTATCTGTGGCCTTTTACCTCTGTTTGATTCCGGGCACAGCTGTGTGTTAAAAATTCACAACACCATTGCATACGGGACCAAATCAAACAACGATCTCATCGAGCTGAACTATAAGTTAGCAGTACAGGTAAAACTTGTTAACAGAAAATGGGAAGCTCCTTGGCATTAACCCATTATTGGGGATTAACCTTTGGAATCATTGTAAAGACACACAGTTAATACATATCGCTGCTAAAATCCTGTCCAGCGCTTTGAGATGGCTCGACAACACAATAAGGCACTACATCAAATACAAGGATTATAATTACTTGTTGGTTGAATGGATGTTCCAGGAAATTGACTTTGATCAATTAACACGGGGCGAGCATTGAGTGAGAAATTAGTTTTGAAAAAGGATAAGTGATAAGTTATTTAATGAGTTAAGTGCTGTGTGAAACCGCCTTCCTGCAACTATGGTTGAGTTTTCAGGTTTCAGGTTTAATCTCTGATGCTATCCCAGAGACCCTTCACCTCACCCCCTTACTCTCCACCACCAATCCCTGCCTTAAGACCGAACTCTACAACCTTGTTTTAGGCACCTCTAACTCTTCCCCTTTCCTTCTCAGCTCCCCGCCCACCAGGCTCCCATCAGCTGTGTTAAGCTCTTTGAAAAGTCTTGCCAACAGGAAAGGCGTTGTATAAATGTGAATTTTTGTTGTTGCCTTTTAACAATGTTGTGGCGCAATTGAAAAGAGGAGGCAGCTTTTCCCCGTGTCCTGGCCAACAATTCTCCAGGGCAAGAGCTGATCTTTTAATTCATAGCTGTTTGAGCGACTTTTGCTAAGCATATAAACATTCGCTGTGTTCAGCAGGAAACAACGGTAGTTTACTGTGGAGTAGTCCAATGGTTAGCGCGCTCGACTCTCAAGCAAGAGGACCTGGGTTCGATTCGCGGGCAGGGTGAAACCTTAGGCAAGTTTCCTTACTCCACACGCCTATTTACCTAGCAATAAGTAGGAACCCGGTTGTTAGTTCATTGGGAGATCGCTTTTCAGGGGTAATAATCCCTCCCCAATAAAACAGGTTCACTCAATTCACGCCTGTTTTGGGGACATTGTTGTGTGCAATTCGCTGCCACTTTCGGCCCCCCCCAAAAAATTCAGTCAATCCACTTTATAGTATATTCTGTGAAGCGCTTTGAGACATCTTACCGACATGATCAGGCACTATATCAAATGCAAAGATTATTTATTATGATTATTAGTTACTGTGATCGCCGTCTTTCATTGCCAGGAGTGCCAAGTGCAGAACACTGCTCGGGAATACGCCTGTGGATTTGCAGCAGAGGGGATGTTACTAGATAACTTTGGAGATGGTCCTGAGTGAGTAAAAACTGTTAAGCAGTTAAGCGATAAATTGTTTAATTAGTTAAGCGCTGTGTGATACTTCCTTTGAAGATTGAGTTTCTCTGTGACAATTTGACAGATTTTTGGCCATCTTCTCTGGTGCTGATCAGCTCAAATGACCAGATTTTCCTTGCAGGAAACTCAGTTTGCCTGGCTCAGTTGGTAGCATTCTCACCTCTGGGTCAGCAGGTCGTGGGTTCAAGCCACACGTTGGGGCTTTGAGCTCACTTAGTCTAGGCTGGCACGCCAATGCAGTGCTGGGGGGAGCGCGCAGAATGGTCAGAGATGCTGTACTTTGGATGAGCCGTTAAACTGAGGTCCTGTCTGTGTCTGTTCAGGTGGATGGTAAAGATCCCATGGAACTATTTGAAAAGAGAAGAGACCTGGCCATCATTCTGCCCCAAAATACAATCGACCGTTCACTTCACCGCTGTGTGCTAACTGGCTGCTGCGTTCACCCACAAAAATACAGTCGCTGTACTTTACAGCACATTCTTGTGCCTCGACCTCTTCACCGTACCATCACCGGCCGTGCTTTTAGCCACTACAACTTGAAGTTTTAGAATTCTTTCCCCCAATCCCTCCGATTTGCCCCCACTTTTCCCTCTTTTAGATCACGATTGAAGACTTTCCTCTTCGACTGTGCTTACGGTCACCTCCTCCCTTCCCCCCCAGCTCGGTGTCAGACTCCACCACTGTTAAGCGCTCCGAGATGCTCCGAGGTGAAGCAACTTGCAGACATGCCAGAGCTATATCAAGACCAAAGCCCTTACTGATAGACCACTAAAGGCAGCAAGCCACCCCTCCTTAATCCCCGAGCATCTGCTGTTCCTAATCTGCCGGCTGGCATTCCTTCCTCAGGGTCATTCCCATCTATCTGATCCACCGGACGGCCAACATCATTCCCTATGCCACGGTGGAGGAGGAGCTGATCGGGGACTTTGTGAAGTATTCGGTGAGGGACGGCAGGGAGCTGAACGTGGGCAGAAAGGTGTCTGAGGCCGGTCAGAAATGCTGCACCTTCCAGCACTGGGTGTATCAGAGGACTGATGGAAACCTCCTTGTGACTGATATGCAAGGTCTGTCTGTCTACCTGTTTTGCTCACAAAATATGTAGTCAATCTAATTAACAATATATGCTGCGAAGCACTTTGAGACATCTCAACAATGCGATAAGCCGCTATATCAAATGCAAGGATTATTATTATTACCATCCTCCTAGGGGGAAGGGGGAGTTAAGCAGGTTCTCCTTGTTGCTGAAGGTTTCAAAGTGACTTGCTTAGCACCAGATTGTCGAAATCGGTTCACTCCCCGGTCTAATTAGTCAGGTCCTGAGCCAGGCAGGTCGGCAGTAGTCCAGGGCACTGCTGACGACAGACCAGCCCAGCATGGCCTATTGGCAGGATTTCGAGGAACAGGGACTCTTCCCACTCAACTCCTATCAAGCCTGCAAGCTCCAAAGCCTTAACAGGTCGGGTGATCCTAGCTGGACAGCTCTCAATGACAAGCTATGCGGTGTTAGCTGGTTAAACTCTGGGGCCTAATGCTCACCAAAATTTAGTAAGCAGTGTGTGTCCCTCTGGGGAGAGAGTGTACATTCCCTTTCAGATACAGAGGAATTTTCATGTGTGAAACTCTCAGTCTGGGTTGGATACTCTTAAGCACGGTGATGGGTTTCCGCACCAGTCGGACACCTAGCTCACCAAAGCCATTTTAGAAGCGTGTATTTTTGACGGCGCCTTTGGTCAATACCTTTAAATTTTTCCTCCTTCTCCAACATCCCAGTTGTCTTTGTTGTGAAATGTTTTGAGACATTCCTCCTATGTGATTGTCATTGTATGCAATTTACGTGCAGGTTACTATCCTGTTATTTTATGGCTGACTTTATTTACAATAATCCACTTTACAACATATCACTTTAAGTTAATCCACTTGACAGTATATTCTGTGGAGCTCTTTGAGACATCTAAATATTATTATTGCTTGTAATCTATTGTGACATGTTCATCAAATGAACCACCTTCTGTGATTGTTCCTCTGCAGGTGTGGGGATGAAGTTAACCGACATTGGGATTGCAACGTGTAGCAAAGGGTAAGTGGAGAAGCTCAGACACATACCTTGCTGCGGCAGCTCCTTTTGTCGCTCAACTGATATAATATGCTTCCATTTTAAAAAATAAAAGCAAATTAAGTTCTAAGTTTTGCACCTGGGGTGTGTGTGGGGAGGGGAAAGAATAGTGCTCATTGGAACATAAACTATAGCTTAACCGATATCCAGGTGCTGGACAATCAGTGTCAGACTTGAGCTGGGCGTCAGGATTGGGGAGGGTGGAGAGCAGGAGGGGAAGGAGGGTGACCGAAGGCATGGTCGAAGAGAAGGATCTTGAAGGAGGCAAGGGAGGGGGGGGGGGCGAGGCGGAGGGACTGCAAGACGGGGGCAGAGTGGCTGAAGACCCGCCCGTCAATGGTGGTGTGGGCGAGGCGGGGGACACGAAGCAGGACGGAGCCCGGTGAGCGGAGGGAGCGGGCAGGTTGGTAGAGGCTAGGACATGACAGTCACTACACTTCTCAGTAAAAATCGTGCGAAACATTTTGTTGATGTGATAAGGCAGCATATCAAATGGAAGGATTATTATTGTGATGAAGATCAAACTAAATCATTTTGCAAAGTGTGACAGCAGTCAACATGTACTGCACCAACAGAATCAAACGGACATGAAACAAAGAGATTCTTTGTGTAATGCTTGCATTATTACAACACCCAAAACATCAGAACATCTCAAAGCACTTCATGTGTAATTGCTATCAGGTGTAGTGGTCTTATTTTTTTCAGGCAAAATCAGCAGACAATTTGTGCAGAGCAAAGTCCAAAAAACAGTGAGGAGGTGAATGATCAATCAATTCGGAGAATTTGGGGCCTTAACTTACAAACACAGAAATAAACAGCGAGCAGAAAGCCATTTGGCCTATCCATGTGTGCTGCCTCTTTTAAAGAGCAATCCTTTTAGTCCCATTTACCTGACCTTCCCCCACATCCCTGCAGTTTACGTCACCTCCAATTGATTCAACAACAACAACAACAACAAGAAGATTCCATTTATAAAGCGCCTTTCACGTCAGGAGGACGTCCCAAGGCGCTGCACAGTTGGGTCATGACCCGAGCAGGGGGGAAATGGTCAGGGTGAGGGGAGGGGAGGGAGCGAGGAGGGGGGAAATGGTCAGGGTGAGGGGAGGGATGGGAGGGAGCGAGAAGGGGGAAGAGAGTCGAGAGGGGAGCTGAAGGCTCGGTCAAAGAGAAAATTTCACAACGTAACTTATGGCTTGAGAAACACTTTGAGATGTTTCGGCGTGATAAAGCACCAGATCAAAATCCAAATTGTCATTACCATTAGTTGGGGAAGAGGCAGGTCAATGGAACAGCCTGGGTTCTTGTCTCAAAACAATCAGATGTGATGGGCTGAATGGCCTTTTTTTGTACTGAAAAATCTCAATGGATTTTTGGCTCTTGTATAGGCCTCCTACCACCACCTTCACCTCGGATAATGTCACAGAGCACTTAATAATGACAGGGTCAGCGCTCAGCAAAGGAGAGTAAAGGGGGAGGTGATAGACCAAGAGGTAGGTTTTTAGCTGTGATTTAATGACAGATGGGGGCAGGGGAGGGCAAGATGGAGAAGTAGATGGAGGGGTTTTCAGAGGATAGCGGTATATTGTTGGAAGTTTGACCACAGATGGTGAGCATGGGAGCGGGGCACACAGCAGATTAGCCTAAGCAAGATATGCGAGCAGAGGAGTGGGATAGGAGAAGGGACCACAGAGATAAGGAGATGCTGGGCCATAAAGTTTAATGAAAGGCATCACATTTCAGGTTACTATTCTAACCAGTGGTTGTGGAGTCCCATCGTGTAATGGTTAGTGCACGTAAGCTTCCTTACTCCACACATCTCTGTTTACCGAGCAATAAGTAGGAACCTGGTTGTTAATCAATTGGCGGATCACTTTCCATGGTTAATAAACCCTTTAAAAAAACACTCAATCCACGCCTGTTTGTGGGACACTGCTGTGCGCAATTGGCTGCCACATTTTGCCCACAAAATACATAATCAATTCACTTTGCAATTTATTCTATGAAGAGCTTTGAGATGTCTCAACAATGTGATACAACTATCAAAATTTAAGGATTATTCTTAGTAGTCTTCTTATCATTATTATTTATTTCTAGGTACAAAGGATTTAAAGGGAACTGTTACATCTCCTTCATTGAGCAGTTCAAAGCTCTCCACCAGTGTAATCAGTATTGCAACATGATGGGTTTGAAGTCTCTGAAAACCAGCCAGCAGAAACCCAAAAGGACAGGCTCAGTGAAGACCCACCTGACTCACAACCAATCCCGCACTCAACAGAGAAAATACCGCTGACCCTACAGTCTACATACAGACTTAAAAAAATCTCAGCCCTCGGACACAGAGAGAAACCTTCTAAGAGAAGAACTGGCAGGAACATCTATAAGTCTTTTCAGCCTCCGTGAACTGGAACTACGTGAGCAGAGTGCTACACTCACAAGGTCTTATTGTGTCCCGAGATCCTTAGCGTCATTTTTGGAGAGTGGTTTGTCTTCATTTACATTACGTGTGAAACTATTAGTTCTGCAGTTCAGGGCTTCCAGCATGGAGATCTGTAATGTCATTTCAAACCCAGAAGGGAGAAACTGCCTGACAGGGTGGTGGAAGCAGATTCGATTGTAGGTTTCAAAAGGGAATTGGAAATATACTTGAAAAGGAAAAAAACTTGCAGGGCTATGGGGTAAGAGCAAGAGAGTGGGACTAGTTGGATTGCTCTTTCAAAGAGATGGCACAGGCACGATGGGCTGAATGGCCTCCTTCTGTGCTGTAAGATTCTATCATTCTATCAAACTCCTCTGTTGCCTTCTTGTATCCCCTCTTCATGTGGAACACAGTGACAGGAGTAGAAAAGTGGAGTTCTGTAGCTCAGTGGTTAGAGCACTAGCCTTGCAAGCGAGAGATCTAGGTTCGATTCCTGGCAGGGTGAAACCTTCAGCAAGTCTCCTTACTCTACATGCCTTATAATAATCCCTCAAGAAAAAAACCAATAACAATTTGGTTACTCAATCCACGACTGCTTGTGGGACACTGCTGTGCGCAATTGGCTGCCGCGTTTTGCCCACAAATTCACTTTACAGTCTATTCTGTGAAGCACTTTGAGAAGTCTAGAAGACGTGAAAAGCGCTACATCAAATGCAAGGATTATTATTATTATTGGACCATTCAGCCCCTCAAGCCTGTTCCACCATTCTATTAGATCATGGCTGATCTGTACCCCAACTCTACTTACCTGCCTCTGCTCCATATCGCTTGACACCCTGACCTAACAAGAGAAGATCATCTGGACTCATTCAGGAAACAGCCACATGCTGTGATGTGCAGGTATTCTGGAAGGATGAGATCAAGTGGGCTGTATATCCACCTCTCTCTATGGCTTCAAACTAAATAAATGTCAATCCACTTGTGAAGTTCTCTCTCCATTGACATCCTAGAAGGTTGAAGTGGAGCTAAGTGGGTTTGCTTTCACTGCCCCGTGTTTTCTAATCTGCATTGTGACAATAGCACTAAGAGACTGTCAATGTTTATGGTTTTGTGCAATTCTGAGCATGAGAATATAGTTAAATCGGATCTCTAGTAGCACGTTACAACACAGGAGCAGTAGGAGGCCATTCAGCCCATCAAGCCTGTTCCACCCAGATGAGCCTAACCTCATTTGAATCTGTTTTCAATGGTTCTGTTTGAAATCCTAATAAAAAACTTGATCTTCTTACTTTTGGTGAGCTGGGGAGAGGAGAACCACATGAATTTATTTATACAAGGGAAGTCCATCTGGCCCAGAGAAATATTGACCATTATTCTCAGCTACAGCAGGAGATGCAGTGATGGAGAACTGATTATTTTAGATACGTTGCAATTAATTGTCAACATAAAGCACTCTTAATAAAAAAAGTAATATTTTGGTCACTCAATCCACGACTGTTTGTGAGACATTGCTAAGTGCAATTGGCTGCTGTGTTCGCCCACAAAACACACAGTCACTCCACTTTATATTTTATTCTGTGAAGCACTTTGGGATTTCCTTTTGACATGCTATATCAAATGCAAGAATTATTACTGTAATTACGATTATTATTAATAGGTGTTTTGTTTTCTATACGTTGGTGATTTTCAATAACTTTGAATGGAAGGGTGACTGAATGGATGGAGCAATTATTTCAATTTTTTTAAAAATAATTTTCATAATTTCAAAAAAAATTCACAAAATAAACTCAATTTGGGGAAAATACACATAAAAGTGTTTTTTAATAAAACAAATCCTTTGATGTCAATTGCATATGAGATGTTGTGGTCATTATTTCCCAGGAACCTATTCTTGCACTGATTAGATCGTCTTATAGCAAAGGTTAAATAGAATACAGAAATGTACACAGTGTGGAGAAAGGGCAGGTAAATGGGACTGAAAGTATTGCTCTTTAAAAGAGCTGGCACAGGCACGATGGGCTGAATAGCTTTCTTCTCTGCTTTAAATTTCTATGTTTCTAAAGAAAATAAATCGGCCGTTCAACCCATCCTAGCATGTTTCTTTACTTATTCCGCATGCCTTTCTTTACCCAGCAGTAAGTAGGAACCCGGTTGTTAGTCGATTGGCGGATCGCTTTCCAGGGGTAATAATCCTTTATAAAAAAANCTGACAGGCCCCCACCACCCCACTATCAGCATGTCTGACACATGCTTATATCCATCACCATGTTAAGATTATCCAAACCACACCAAGTGTTCCATCCATACATGTCACTTACACATGGAGATTTCCCTGTGTCTGGAATGGGATGCACACTCTCTTCCCAAGGGACGTGTCCGGCTTATTACCTAATTCCAGAAAATATGAGGTGCAAGTTGTCAAGAGCCAAGGTTTGGGGAGCGTTTTCTGCGGTAATTACTGGAGTTTAACCAGATAAAAATACATAGATTCCCATTGAGAGCACTATCTGGCAAACTTCCCCACTGCTTGTCCAGCTAGGACTAGCCTAGTCCTGTTAGGGCTTCAGGTTGCGGGTTAACAGTTTTCACTATTATTGATGATATCGCACACTGAACAGACGACAGGGGTTTGTATCTTTAGCAGTAAGAAATTTGACAGAATTACATAGAACACTCCAGCACAGAAACAAACCTTGTTTTAGTTTTATTTACTTTTATATCTTCAATATAATTAAACACTTAAGCAGAAAACATGTCCATTACAACAATAAGGTTACATTTATATAGCGCCTTTCAACAACAACAGCAACAAGAAATTACATTTGTATAGCGCCTTCACATCGGTAGGACATCCCAAGGCACTGAATAAAAGTGCTGTTATCAGAATCTCAGAGCGCTCGACAGTGGTGTGGTTTGAACAGTGAGCTGGAAAGAGAGGGGAAATGGCTGAAGACAAGGTCAAAGAGGAAAGTCATCAGGTGTGATTTGAAGATGGGCAAAGAGGAGGCAAGTCAGAGGGATTGAGGCTGGGAGTTCCAGAGATTTGGGACACAGTGGCTGAAACCACGGCCAACGGAGGTGGAGTGGAGGGGACGAGGGACATGCAGAAGACCTGAGCCAGTTGAGCGAAAGCGGTGGGTAGTGAGTGTTGTATAAGGTAAATAACCCTACAATGCAACTAACCATACACATCAATAAAATGAGGCTAAGACCAGGATATAAAACCTCGGGCTCTGTGATCTAACAATATATATGTTAACACGTTTTCATTATGTATATTATACATTAATGTTTCTAGTCAGAGTCCTGCAGCACATTTTATCAAACTGTATTCAAAGACTTGAATAGGCAAAACGTATTCCTAAATAAACACGTTAAAGCATAGATAGCAATTACACATCTGTACGTCAGATCTATAACCATAACATAATCTTTGCTGGAATGGCAACAACAACAACTTGGATTTATATAGCGCCCTCCACGCCGGACAGCATCTCAGAGCGCTTTACAGAAACGCAGCTTTCATGTAAGGCGGATGTTCTAAAGTGCTTCACAGGATACACTGTGAAGTGGAATGACTGTGATTGTGGGTGAATCCAGCAGCCCGATTACCCCCGTTTCACTAAAGAAATACAATAACACCAAATTCTAGACTCTGAGGCCATTTTGCTACATTTTGAGCTGGTTGAGCTCCAGCGGTTATCTCCAATGCACATACAGGAGACCCCAAGCCTTGGTTCTTTCCAACCTGCGCATAACACTCTGCAGAATTAGATGAGTACAGTGTAATCTTACATTTGAACCTGGGTCCTCTCACTTGCGAGATGAGTGCTCAAACCAATACACTACGGGATTTAAGTAACAGTGATAGGTCAGACACCCCGCTGACCAAAAAGGAAATGCGTCGGTCACAAATTTGCTTTAGGCTCTTCTAGAATTATCTGTTCACAGTCGTCCAATTTTATTGATAAGAATTTGGCTTTAAATCGTTCAGTTTTTTCTCGGAAGTTTCGCGAGGGCCTAGGATGATGCAAGGCTTCTTTTTAAATATACATCATATATAAAAGAACAATAATAATCAACAACAACTTGCATTTATATAACGCCCTTCACACATGGTAGCGTCCCGGAGTGCTTCACAGTGGTGGAGTCTGACAATGAGCCAGTGGGAGAGGGAGGGGGAAGGTGATCATAAGCAAGGTCTTAAGGCGGGATTTGAGGGTGGGGAGGGAAAGGACAAGGCATAGGGATTGAGGGAGAACGTTCCAAAAATTTCAGGGTGTAGTGGCTGAAAGCGCGACTTCCAATGGTGGAACTGAGGGTGCTAGCGACAATCCTTTCACTTTGGGGAGGGCGTCTGAAAGCACTTCATAGAGGACACTGTGTATTTTGCAATAATAAAACTTTTTGTTGTTGTTGTATTTGTTATAGCGCCTTATCACGTTGCTAAGATGATTCAAAGCGCTTCACAGGGTTTTACTGTGAAGTGGTATTTGTGGGTGAACGTGGCAGCCAATTTGCGCACAGCGATGTCCCATAAACAGTTTTATCTGGGGGATTGTTGAAATCGGACACCGGGAGAAACCCCCCTTCCCTTTTTCAAATAGTACTGCAGGATCTTTAACGTCCGCTTGAAACAGACAGACATAGGTCTCAGTTTAACATCTCAATCATAGGACAGCACCTCGTACAATGCAGCACTCACACCCTTTACAACACTGGAGCATCAGCCTCAACTATATGAGTCCCAAGTACACTACTATACAGTATATATATAGAAATAAAAGTTGTGTTGAGAAATGATCTGTGCAGAATCCTGCGGCCGTGTTTATTTAGTGTGATAATGGCGTTTGATGTCAGTGATTACAAACACCATTGTCACACTCCATAGTCACTGGTAGCATCAAGTCTTAGAGAAAACAGCTGTCAGCGGAGAATGGACAAGTATAAATTCCACCATCTTCCTTCAATTCGCTCCACAATAGAACAGACCTGATAAAAAGAAGTTGAACGGTTTGTAACATAACCTCTGAACTGATATAAATACTATTTCCCGTCAACTCTTTATACATATATTATATAATTTTTAAAACACCAGATTTAAATAATGAATAATATATATTATTTAACTATTCGTAAATACTTAATTATTTAATAATTTATATTATTATTAACAATAAAATAATAGACCTTGGATTTGATACAGCGCCTTATCATGTCT